GAGCCTGACACAGAAGCTGGCAGTAGTGGCAGACAACTAACTGCTATTCAATCTATAACAGTGAAAAAAGTTTTTTGTTTTTAAATGCAATCTATTGTGACACCAGATATGAGTGTTGGCACTGACTGGGCAAATGGGCATCGTATGCACTGTGAGCCTGACACAGAAGCTGGCAGCAGTGGCAGACAACTAACTGCTATTCAATCTATAACAGTGAAAAAAGTTTTTTGTTTTTAAATGCAAGCTATTGTGACACAAGTGATTGAGTGGTGGCACTGACTGGGCAAATGGGCACAGTATCCACTGTGAGCCTGACACAGAAGCTGGCTTCAGTGGCAGACAACTGACTGCTATTCAATCTATAACAGTGAAAAAAGTTTTTTGTTTTTAAATGCAAGCTATTGTGACACCAGATATGAGTGGTGGCACTGACTGGGCAAATGGGCACAGTATCCACTGTGAGCCTGACACAGAAGCTGGCAGCAGTGGCAGACAACTAACTGCAATTACATTACACAGAAAAAGCATACCCTAAATCTCTAACCTAGCTATGCATTTCCCTATCTAATCAACAGCAGCTACACTTTCCCTCCTCTCACTAAGTATGCAGCTTGAGAATGAATCTAAAATGGATGCTGTCCAGTAGGTGGGAGGGTCTGCTAGGGAGGGTGTGCTGCTAATTGGCTGGAATGTGTCTGCTGACTGTAAGGTACAGGGTCAAAGTTTACTCAATGATTACGAATAGGGGGCGGATCGAACCGCGCATGCGTTCGCCATCCGCGGCGTTCGCGAACACACTATGTTCGCCAGGAACTGTTCGCCAGCAAACCATTCGGTGCATCACTATCCACTCCCTGTAAACAAACTCATGTGTGGCCCATGTAGGTGCACTTATGGGTGGGTCTTTTAGGAATACTCACGGTCAGGCCCTGGGGGCCTAGACCTTGAGCTGTGTAAGGGCCCCCAAAAATGAAGCTGCTTCCTGTTCATTGATTTTTGTGAGCAGAGTTACAAACAGCCTCCAGAGATTCTGTCTAAACCAGACCAGTGGAGGCAAACTGCAACCAGAGCCCATCATCATCCTCATCTGGTTGTAAGTAGGCAATCTAGTATAATATTAGTGGCATTAATCACTAAATTACCTCACATTAAAGAAACACTATAGTCCCCAGAACAACTGCTGCTTAATGAAGTGGTTCTGGTGTCCATAGCCGGTCCCTGAAGGCTTTTAATGTAAACACACACTGTGTGCAGCACTCGCGTTAGTTCATATGGCAGATCATATGGGTGGGGCATTGTGATGCCACATGGGGGGCAGAGCATATGGGGGCAAATATTTGTTTGCCTAAGGCATCAAAAATTCTTGCACTGGCCCTGCTCAGACTCCCATGAACGGCAGCCAGCCCCACAAAGTCACCTCCCTGAACCAAAAGGTATGGAAGCAGGCTATGTATGCTAATATGTAAATTACAATTTGTGTGCCAGAGTGAATGTGTAGGTATGTGTGGCTATGTGTATCTGTGTGCCAGTGTGTATGTGTGTGTCAGTATATGTATGTTAGTGTATATCAGTGTGCATGTATCTGTGTGTGTGAGTGTATCTGTGTGCATGGGCGTCCACAGGGGGGATTTTTCAGTTTGTTTTGCTATTTTTCTTGTGGGATTGAAAATACAGTGCAATACCGGTGTGTGTGGAGAGAGACAGGGATAGGAAGCTACATCTTATCCCTGCTTCTCTCTGACTGAATCCGCAGGGGAGCAGCACATGCAGCCAGCAGAGACAGCCTACAGATAAGGGAAGAGAGGCATGGGGGGGCAAAGACAGCCTACCGAACGGTAAGAGGCATGGGGGGAGATAGCCTACA